CGCTTCCTGGCTCGCGCATGAACAGCAAGCATCGCGTACTATTACACCAAGTCCATCTACGCAACACGTTTTCTCACGGCCCCGAAGGTTGCAAAATGCACAAATCAACACAACTTTTGCTATACGTCCAAAAACTAAAGAATTAGCCATCATACCGTCACCCATTTTGCTGGAGAGTACCAAAATCGTTTATTTGCAGAAGATAAAATGGGAAATTTGGACGAAGCGGGACGAAATTCAGTTGAAAATGCGTGAAACTTAATTAAAGCCGGTCTAAAATCTAGCCAGAATGCTAAAAAATGCAACAGAAGGGAGTAGAATACAGATTAAAACAGTAAATTCAACTGAAGACTACAAAATCGGGCAAAAACCACAAATGGGCAAAAATTCAGCTGTACGTGCAAAATTGTTTAAAGTTGTTAAGTGGATCAAGAAATGTGAAATACAGGACTAAAAAATGCTACATTTAAGCAAAAGAAAGCTAAATAAGGAGCTCACTTTGCTTGAGTGATATTAAAGCTAGAGTGAACATTTATTTGTTGTAAGGTGATTGGCTCGCAAGTTTTGCAAACGACAAATATCGTTAATCGTACAATTATACCAAAAAAAAAACGTTTTCTGAAGATGTTAAACAGCAGCTATAACATTCAATGGAAATAGCTTAGTTAACTTTTCGTAAATGTTGAAAAGACACAAGAAAGTTCAAAACGCCCCAGAAATGCTTGTTGGAGGACTTTTTTTGTTTGAGCACACTTTAAAGCCAACAGCTTTTGCTCTATTTTGATGTGTTGTCTATCCGACTTTACAAATTGGCTTGTTTTCACTTGCTATTGAAGTGAATAAAAGCGAGGAGGCGAGGTATTTTCAAGGATAAGATTTCAAAGTATCCAGGCCAATAAAATTCCAAAATAGCCATGAACTTGTTTTTAGTGATTCTTGAGTACAGAGTATTGTTCAACAAATGAAACAGTCTGAAGTAGATTTTGGAAAAAACAGGAACTGTGCGCAAAACGAGTAGGAAATGCAACCACAAGAGAGAGAGGAAGTTACATAACCGTGTAAATGAAATTATATTTTGCTGTCACTTGCTC